TGTTGATGTGCTTAAGGCCTGCATGAAGTTTGGTGGCTTTGGTGGAGAAGGTATAGAATGTTCGAAGCTGAGTTTTAATTCTAGGTATGTTCTTTTTGGCTGCTATAATAATTGCTTGATTGAGCTCATGCCATTGTTTGTTTAATGTACTACTATTGCTTATTTCTTGTATAGTTGTATTTTCTTATAGGTAGGTTGTTAGTGAGTTGAAAAATTCTGTCCACATATCTGGTGTCATTTGGTCATATTTAAAGATTTCTCTTTTTCTTTGCTTTCATCTGTTGTTTTTTATTTGAGGATTGTATGCCCATTGTAGTTGTATGATTTGGTAATCACTATCTGTCATTGCATTAGAAGAGGTTATTTGAGAAGGTGTTATATTATGTATAAGTTGTGTTGGGACCCAGATGTCATTATTTGGCTATTCATTTCTTGACAACTCCATGTGAAGTCTGTAACATTGAAGTAGTCAAGTGTGCTGAGTAGTCCATGTAGTTTTAGAGTATTAAAAAGTGGGGCTATTTTCTTTTTAGATTTTTTGTTAATGTTGAAATCTCTAAGAACAATTGTATGATAGCATTTAGCTGTTGTCTGGTTTATCCATTGTGTTATTGTTTGCTGTATGATCTTATTAAGAGAATGGTTTGTAGTTGGTAGATAGATGGAGATTATTCGAATTTGGTTTTTGTTTGGAAAAAAGAAGTCTATTTGATAGAGGTTCCTGGTTCTGTTATAATGTTGTGAATGTAGAGTCTAAGTAGTTTAGTAATTGCAATTGCAGTATTAAGGCTTGTTTCTCTTTTGACTGCTCATTGAGCATTGCAGTTTGAGGTATAAACATAGTAATAGAGATTGTTCATAAATAGTTCTGTATAGGTTGAGTTAGCTAATTTTGTTTCTGTCATACTTATAATATAGTATTGATGCTGTTAGCAGTGTTCGAGCCATAATTGTAGTTTGAGTCTTCATTTAGGCCTTGTATATTGTGGGTTACTATTGTTAGGTTGTTGTTAATTTGTAGAGGAAGTGGGTTTAAGAGCTCCTAGTCAATGTCTTCTAGTGAATTTGGAGTTGTTGTGGTAGTAAGTGATGGTGTCTTATTCTTATTTTTGTTGTACTGCATTTGTTTGAATAGGGCAAAATATTTTCCATTCAGGTTTAGGAAGTGGCAGTAGTTTTAGAATGTGTTTAGGTATTGCTTTAACTGTATAATGTTGTCTGAGTTTTGCTAGTATTATAGTTGCAGTATCTTGGCTTGTTATTAGTAGTGTGATATCAGTTGTATTTATTTTTTGATTTTTGAGGTCTTTTTGTATTTGTGTGATAGTATCAGATATTTGGGCTTTGCCTCTTTATTTGCATCTATTTTATCTATAGTTTCTTTGTTTGTTTCTGGTATTTGTATTCATTCTGTAGGCAATTTTTGGAAGTAGTAGTAAGGTCAAAGAAGGCTTACAGTTTCAGTTATTCTTTTGGATGTATCTATTGGAATAGTAAGGTTAACTTCTGTAATCATCTTGGAATCAATAGGTAATCTGAGCTTGTTAGTAGGGATGGTAGTCATGATTGCTTCTAAGATGGGTAGTATGATTTTGTATGTTCTTTTGACTTCATGTATGAAGATTGCTGCTTCAGTATTATCTATAATTGGGTAGTTATATGTGTTTTGGGTTTTAATTCTGGTTGGATCTTTTGGCAGACTGGATTTAACTAGAAAATAGTTATTTGGGATGTTTTGAAAGGTAAAGTATTTTCTAAGTCTTATAATGATGTCTTGCATATCTGTATCCTAGTTGGCTCTGTTTATTGGAAAGCATGCTCTTAGTTGTAGATCTTCTATGTTTTGATAAACAGTAGAGAGTACTGGTTTTTCTGGCATTGGTAGAGGTAAGTTAAAGAAGTGATCTGAAATTTTATTGAAGCTATAAATTTCTTGTAAACATTTTCTATAGTATGCAAGTCTTCCTAGTTCTTTTCTCTTTGTTATTAGGAAGAGGTGCTTAATTCTGTAATCTAGATCATTTATGTTATGTGGCAATAGTAAAAGTTCAGTAAAATAGGTAGGTGGTAGCTTTTTGAATTCGAATACTCTGTGTAATGCTATAACGATAGCTTTTGTTTGTGACTTGGATTTTATTAGAAGTTCAAATAGTAGGATGGCTTTTATTTTATCTGAGATTCTTATTGATGTGTCAGAGAGTTTTTGTAATTTGCTTTTTGTTGTCTCTGCGATTGCCTCTTGTATGTCTTTTTTGTCTATTGCTTTTTCATTTCTTGTAAAGCCTTTATAGTATATTAGTAGTTAATATATATATTTCTGTAAACTTGTATTGAAATTCGTATTAGCAATATGGTTGATATGCAGTTTTTGACGAAGTTTGAGATGTATCTTGTCTCTTGTTTGTTTGTCATTAATGGTTATTTTGTTTTTCTTTTTGTATTTTTGCATCACATTTGTGAATAGGTTTTCATACTCTATTTGGTATTGGGGCATAAAGCATTTGGTTCTTGTAAAGGTAGTAAAGAAGGTGCAGTCAGTATGTCTAAATTTAGATTTAATTGCATATAGTAGTATTTGTTATACAGGTTTGTCTTGAATTTGTATATAATAAGTTCTTGAAGTTTCTCTTTTGCTTAAAAAGCTTTTGTTGTAAGTTGGTAATTTCAAAATGTTAGATCAAAGGGTTCTACTATTCTTGTATTTATGTTTTGGTTTAGTTGTTCTGTCCACATTTGCATATAGTCTGTATTACTTTCTAAATCTGTGTCTGCAGTTGTTCTGCTCTTAACTGCCTGGCTATATATGCATCTAGTTTGTATATCATTCTCTATTGAGTTTTTAGTGCTTAGTATTGTTTTAATTGACTCAGTTTTCATGTTTTAGTCAGAGTGCATCTCTGTTTGAGAGGGCTCAGTTTGGTGACTAGTGTCAATTGGTTCTAAGATATGCTATGCTGTATGTGCAATTTCCATTTCCATATTAGGACTATGTGCTTGTGTTTGTATATCACTTATAGTAATGTAAGAGTTGTTGTTTTGTGTAATTGTTATATAGTTGTTATTGTTGCTCACAGAACTGGTTTTATTGTTGGTTAAACTGTTTGTTTTGTTGTGTTGTTGTTGTAGTTGATTGTATTTGCAGTCACATGACTGTTAGACAGAGGTAAGTTGCTTTTGCCACTTTTGTTATTTTGTTTTAATGATAGTATTAAGGTCTTTTGGTGCTTGTTTGTAGTTTCTTTGTTATTTTTGCTAAGATGGTTGTAAGGAGCTTGTTTGTGTTGAGAGTGTTTCTGTTGTCTGATAGGATATTTATAACTGTTTTGCATGTTGAGGATTTGTGTTGCTGTGAAAGTAAAGACAGCTGTAGGCCCTACTGGGCTTAAAATATTTCTTGTTTTCTATGTATAGTTTGTGTTTTCTTTTTACTTCTGTAATGATGTATCTTAGTTTGTTTTAGGTTAGTTTATAAAAGGTCACAGGTAATCCTGCAGTTAGTATTATTATCCTGTTCTTTAGTTAGTTAGGTTTTTGTGATTTTCTTTTTTGTTTACTTATTGTTTTGAGATCTACTAAAAAGAGTTTCTTTATTCTTACTTAATTATCTCATACTTTCTCAATTACCTTATTTTTACTACAACTAAACTCATAGATCAAAACTCTAATCAATGAATGCATTACTAATTACTCAGATTATCATATACTTTCATTCAATTAATCAACACTGAATTGAACATATGACCATAATTGGCCTATTACATGTTCAATTATTACACATAATTTAAGACAAAAACTATCTTAATACTTATGTATTGAGCAGCTATTACAATATTAGGCAATAATTAAGAAGATCTGTAATTCATCTTAAAAGCATACTATAACTTATGATATTCTTATATATTTTTAACTAAAGGTGTTTAATAAGCTCAAACAAAGGCTCAATAAAATTATAATGTTTCTACTAATTTGCATAATTCTAAATTCCAAATCCAAACAAATCAATTTGCTATTATGCACAATAATTATTTGCTCTTTTTACTGCAATGAAAGATGCATAAATGATTTTTATTTTAAATGTTTAATATTTAGATTTAATCAATTTGACTATTGGAATTATTATAGTAACTACAATTGTCAAAATTCACAAGTTTGTTCAAGACCTTTATTTTTAATAATAAATATAATAAAAAATCTAATTGATCTATCTGATCAATTAAGTCAATCAAATTCTTTATCTAGGTTATTAAAAAAAAGCTTGAGAACACCTTTAAATTCTTCTCAATTAAATAAAATTTAGAAGTAAATTGTAAAATAAATTATTATTAATGATTATATACAAAAACAAATATATAAAAGAATAAGAATCTAAAAATATATACTTATAAAAACTTTTTCAAATTACAATTGTAATAATCTAAAATTGATGCAATACTTAAATTATAATTGTTATTAAATAATCTAATTTTTTAATTTAAATTAATATTATTTAATTTTTTTAGAATTTTTTTTTAAATTATTGATGAAAATCACAGAGGATTTAGTAAATTTTTTTGAATCTTTAAATCTAATCTCTTATGAAATAGAGCATAAAGAATAGGAAACAGAATATAACAATGTTGAAGAAATAGTAGAAAATATAATTTAAATCAAAACCAGATTTGAATAATGAAAAAACTGCAAAAGAAACCCTGAGAAAGTTCTTACCAAGTATTAAGATGCTGTTGACAACTTAGTTAATCAACTTAAGTCATGTTGTTTGTGTAATAATAAATGTAATGAAAAAGTTTTGTCGGATCTGTTATAATCTTTAGCATTACAGTGTGTTAAGATGAGCAAAGAGTAATGACATTATTTAATATTAATACTTATGTCTTCTTCTGATAAAGGACTATACAAGAAACCTAAAAATACCAAGTATTAGCTACCATACTTCAGAGAAGTTTGTAGTATTTTTTTTTGAACTTTTTGGTTATGCAATAAAGATGCTATTTATTATCTTTATGGTGGGTTTTAAAAAAACAATCTATGCTTCTTTTACTTTATGAAAATGCTAATTATTTATTTGTTATTAAACTATCTATTGAAATACTTAATAAAATAAAATCTTTTATTAGATTAATTAAAAATCAATAGGGGTGTGGTGATCTAGTGAAGTGGTTAGGTTGTCAACCTTCAAGTGGCAGGTCTAGAGTTAAAATCCATGAATGATGAATTTTAGAAAATAGGTCTGTGTTATGATAACTGTCTCTGTCAATTGGTTGGATTGGTGTATCTGTAACCTTTGTTGCACCATCTTGAATAGGAGCTCAGAGCATCTATACTAAGTATAACATTACACCCATATAGAGGAATGTTAATAACTGGTGTTGCATAAGACTTTGGTGCAAAACTACAATAAGACTACTGGATGCAGAAAGCAAAGGAACCAAAGAGTCAGAAACCTACTTGGAAATCCTAAGTAAGGAGGTAGCACAAAACTTTTAATGGTGTTGTTGAACTGATAGAAGCCTATGAAACATCTCCAAAGGGATAGACAGATAAACTGGATGGCAAGATGTGTAGAGAAGCATATAACCAACCAGACCACCAAAATTGCCAGAGGAAAAGAATACTAAGATATACTATACTAAGCCATCTGGATTGGAAGTCTGAAAGTCCTGTCAGTTCTGAGTAGTAGTTAGTAAGTGATGATGAAAAGGATATCAGAAAGATGGGTATCGGGGTTTGGGTGAACCTTACAAGATTAAAAACAGTTTAATGGTTAGCCCTGATTGTAAGTAATAGTTTAGACCAAAGTATGACTGGGTGAGCTGTAAGTATAGAATACAGAACATACTGGTAGGTTTAGTACAAAGTTAAACATAACTTAGTGACCATGGCATATCTTCACTGGTTTCTGAAGTCACTGGTAGAGTATGGTGGATGCAGGATTAGAGTGTTTAAATAGAAGATTTATAGGTGAGTTCTAGGTATAGCAACTAGTGTAGAACCTTCAGATGGATTACTTAAATTAGACAATGACTAAAGTTGTAAGAGTGGCTAGTTGTACACTCTTTCTGTAATTGCCTCTGTGTCTGTACATATACAGGCACTGGCCAACTTATATTATCAATAAAATCCTGAGTCACATATACTTACCTTAACATTAAAAAAAAAAAGAATAATTAAAAATCAATATAGTAAAGCATTAGCTGTTTGAAAATATGCACAAAAAAAAATAAACAGACATATAACAATACAATATGAAAAGAAAGATCTTGTTCTTCTTCTATCTTATTATTTCTATAATCAGTTTTTAGCTTTTTATAACTTAACACATCCTAACAATCTTGCAAGTAGTTAAAGTTTTTGATGAATATAGAAGAATGATTCTGAGTTAAATAAGATTGTTATTAGAAAACCATCTAAAGATGTATATAACAAATGTACTTTATTTAAATATGCATTAAAAGAGAGCAGCAATGTAAATGAAAACCTTGATGACCAATTTGCTATACATATATATAGTTATTATAGTATGAAAGAAGCATATGAATATAATATTCAAATAGTGAAAGAATGTGATTTGTGTTCCATGTTTTTTCTTTTGACTTTGCTCACAATGTTGAGTTGCTCTATGACTCTTAATGGCCAGAAAGATGGTACTATTTATCATTGTTAAAAGTGTACCAATTCAAATTAGTGAATGAATGTATTGATTACTATTGGCATGTTCTTTATATAAAAGAAAAGGCATCAAAAGGTGCCAATAAAGTTACATTTATGGTGTATTTATTTCTTACTTCTGTTGTAAGTAAAGCAAATAAAATCAGGTATATATATTAATTAATACATTTTTATTTAATAATTACAAACAAATTATAATTAAAAATTATAATACAAAATAAATTAGATTATAGCTAAATAATTGTAGTAAACAAAATAAATCACATGTTTTCTATAATACTTTTTATGAGCTTGTTATACTCAAATATTTCAAAAGATCATATATTTTTTAAATAAAAGAACATACTTAAAATTCAGTTGACTAGAATTTAGTAATACTAAAAAAAAATATGCCAAATTAGAAGTTTGGTGCATTGATTAATTAGTAGAAGCAATAAATAAGAGCATGAATAATAATTTTTCTGTAAATTTAGAAAATCAAACAAAACTATTTTGTAACTAAACTTTGGCACTTAGCTTATTGTACTTTAAACTTTTAACAATTTAAAAGTATCATTTTTTTTAGTTTAGTAGTAAAAATCATAGTATAATGAAAGCTAAAATCAAACCCACTGATCTATAAGATAAATTTCAATTATTAAAATCAAATGCTAATGCTAAAAGTCTAAATTCTCAAGAGCTCTCACCAAAGAGTCATTCTGAAGAAAAACAAGTTGACCTTTGAAACAATATTTATTCATATTATTTTGTTATATTTTATAATAAATATTTTTCAAAACTAAATGATGACTTAATTAAAAAGGTTAAAAGTCATAAAAGAGTTTGTGTAAAAGAGATATAACAAAAACAAAATGTCAAAAAAATAATATTGTAAATTAAATAAAAATTTTTTTATTTTTAATAAAGAATATGCATGTACTCTTACTCTTTATTACTATATATTAGTATTATATTATTGTATTCTAATAAGATAATTAATATATTACCAAAACTACTAAAATACTAATTGATATTACATTGCATTAGGAGTTTTAAAAATCAATTTTTAGGTTTTCACTCTCACGCACTTATATGCAATTGAGATCTGAAACATGACTAATATCATATAGTGTAAATTCTAAATATCAGTATTGTTATAGTGATAAGTAAAAAAGTTGTAACAATAAAAAGTGCACCAAGCTGTGTAAAACTTAAAAATAGTACAAACCCTTTATTTGTAAAATAAAATTTTCTAAATACTTACCCTTTTGTAATTGATAATTGTAACTTAATTAGTATAATTGTATTTAGATTCTGTAATAGTCTTTAATATCAAAACTATGGATTACTAAAACTAAGTAGCAATAGTATTAGTGAGCAAAACTACTAGTTTCATAGATAAAAAGTTTAATTATCATATCTTCTAATAATTTGAAAGATATAAAAGCAGAATCTTCAAGCTTTTAATAAAGTTATAAGTTTTTTTAAATATTTAAAATGTCTTAAATAGAGAATAGAAGAATCGATTGCTTAAATGTTTGAATAGTTTTATTGTGAATATTTAATTACCTAATAAAAAAAATTAATCAATAACTGTTATATTGCAAATTTGTTAAAAACTCTATTACTTTAAAATATTATTATAAATCATTATTGTTGTATTTAACTATTAATTAATTGTTTCTTTATTAATTACATTAGTTATATCACTATATTAATTCAATTAATTAAATTTATTATATAAGAGTAACAATTACTAAATTAATTAATAACCTGATCTCATATAAATTAGTTAACTAACTCTGATAAATTATCAATTCATATAAACAAGTCATTCTATTAATAGTACTCTATTACTTTATTCAAGATATTTTTTTAATTTTATTTACTATTGAAGTTAGATTGAATAAAATATTTACTATAGCTCTCCCAAACAATAGTAACAATATGTTAGATATATTAAATATATTTGATATATTTACATATCTTTTATATCACATAAGTATAATATATGTAATATACACTGATAATTATAAATAGTATAACAAAAATTTTTTTAGATTGCAATATTTTATGCAATTCTAGGTTTTTTTATTTTAATTTTTTTTATTTTATTAACAAATATTATCTTTTTTAAATATCAAAAATTTAATAATTATTATTATTACCAATATAAAAATAATTGAAAATTTTTTACAAATTACATATTGTATTATTTTTAATCATTTTTGATAAAGATCAGATTGTGTAAGTTGTGTTATATAAATACATATTGTGAGATCCAAAAACATGATCGATATTACATGTTGTAAACCCTGAATGTCAGGTATGTCAGATATGTTAGATATATTTGATATATCTGATATATCTGATATATCACCTATATCGCATAAGTGTGATATATTAGATATATGCAATACATATAATAAATTAGATATGTTCGATATCCTAGACAATTTCATAATATAAATAGACAAGACAGTTTATTATAAATAAAGGGCAATTCACTCAGATGAAGGAGGGATGACAATTGCAAAATAAAAACTAACTACCTGACCCTATAGTACAAGTCAATATTTTATCCTGTAAATACCAGTACTATCGTTAAATTCTAGTACTAACACTACTTCCCAAGAAAAACCAGTTACATACCCGGTAAACTGTAACAAGAGAAGAAGAGTTCCAACCCTGATTTGACATAGTGAAATTCCAGTTGAGACTATAGAAGAAGATAAGAATTAGAAAAGAGTAGGTTGAAGGAAAGACTCAACAGAGAAGAGGCTAGTACTTACCTACGGACAAAAATCCACTCGTCAAATCTAACATGCCTGTTTCAACTTAGCTGCCATAGGTAATATGAAAGTTGGCTTAGTTTAGCAACAGACTCACCAAAATCCGAGACGACAATATAAAAATATAAGTTTCATTATTAATTTTGCATTTTGTACAATATTAGAATTGCTTACTAATCAAAAAAAGAATCATACAACCTTTACCAAGAGCTCAAATATTGTTTTCTTTTTAAAAAAAATATATTACAAGAGCAGTAGGTTGGGTCCATTATATTAACTTTTTTATATTCTAGTAAATTAAAAAAAAATAATTTACAAATTACATACTTGAATATTTAGAAAGAGTTGGTCATTCAACTTCATTAGATAAACTAACCCAAAGAAGAATAATAAATTTAATTACCTCCTGTTACTGTTATATTATCATTAAAGTAAGAATCTATTTCAAAATAAATAAAGATATTAAAATTTTAGTATTTACTATTTGTTAAATACTTTGAAACAATGGTTTAGTATTAAGAAAAAAAAAACACCACCTAAATAATAGTTATTAAAAAATATGAAAAAATGTATTATTGATGATTGGTTAAGATAATTTAGTCAAATGAGTCAAGGTTCTAACTTTTTAAATCAAATAGTAAGCAGTACTATTGGAAGTATTATAAAGAACTATTAAACCATTTTATGTTAAGTTCATAATGAAATTTAGTAACAGATCAATTTTGATTTGAAGTTATTTTATCTTTTATGATGTTGGTAACTATTGTAAGATTGATGATATAATGGATAATAAGCTGCATCTAAAAATTAATTTTAGTGCTATTCTGTGCAGATTTGCAAAAAGTTAAATAAGAAATTTAATAAAAATCTGCAAATTTTCAGGTTTGCTACTGATAGATATAGAAATTAAATGCAATTCTGTATAAATTTTTAAATTTTATAAAATTTCATAGATTTTTATTAAAAATTTTATAAAAATCTACACTTTTTTTATATATTTGCAGATTTATATTTATTTTACTTTTTAGATATGTATTATCAAATACTTTGTAAAAATTTAATATTATTAACATTAGAAGTTTTACACATTATTAGTTATAATTTTGATGTACTAAACCAAATTGAATAAAACAATCACTATTAGATTTAGCTTACTAAGATAATTTTAACAAGTATAAGATCATATGATTTTAATTACAGAATTATAAGATCAGACTAATTTTGATAAAAGTACTAATTCTAGTATATGTGATTTGATTCTGATTGGCTTATTTTACTGTATCAGAAATTTAGCATTTCTAATAGTTTTATTAGATCTAACAAATCTAAAAAATATTATATATCTATTATATCTATCATTTCTATTATATTTACTATATCTTTTATATATATTATATATATTATACCTATTATTTTTTTTTGGTATTAAGGTGAGGCCTTGCTTATATCTTTATTATTAATTTTAGTTATATATATTAATATACTATATATTAAAGATATACTAAGATTGTAAAATACAAAATAAAAAACAACAACCACTATTGTCAAAAAAGCAACTCTTTCCGTAGATCACTTATACTAAAACTAAAAAAAAAACATTTAATTATTTTTCAACTTTCTACTAAGTAAACCTTACTTGGCTCCTTAGGTAAAGTTGTTCAGCACACTTTTCTTCTCCTAGTCGGCTATGTTTTAAGTTCCAAAAACACCTGACTGCTAAGAAAGTTTAAAAAACCAAGAATTTAGTTTTTGTTCATTTTTATAAATTTTATTAATTAAACATATCTTTTTATCTATTTAAAGTTGTTCAGCTCATTGAGATGGACATTTTGATATATAATTTATTCAAAACAGACCAAAACTCACAGAGATACAAGCAAAAATCGAAAACAAAAACTTGCTCTTTGCAGGTTTATTCATTACATTTTAGGAAATATTGCAGGGGTGCCCCAGAATTTCACTTTTCTGATACCCATTAGAATTTCCTAAACACCCAATAAGCTTATATGAAGCTTACACATCTTTCCAAACTCTTTTAACTAGTCTAAAAACTTCTAAATCAAACAAATTTTTCTATAAAATATATTTAAAAATTTATTTTTAGAACAAAATGCTGACCTTGATAACAGTTGCACCTGATACCATCAATCTTGACTATTTTTACCAAAAGTGTTCTAAAAGCTTTGGTATTGGTATCCTTGAAGATGCAGCTAATACATCATGC